CGGCAGCGGCGCGCTCTGCGACACAGCGGTTCCAGTCGGTGGAGTGTCGGGTGAACGAACACGCACAAACGCACGCACAAGCACAATACGCACACTCGTTGCTCCCTCCACCAGGGCGAGCCGAGGAACACGAGCGGGTACACGGCTAGTGGAAATGAAGGATATAAGATTCACAAAAGCCTGGCGTACGCACACTTGGTTTGCACTCAAAAATCACGATACAAAAAAACAAACCGTCTGGACAACATCGGGACAGACATCGCGAAACTCACCGGGACGAACAACCATCGGGAATCGGGAAAACCAACGGGACAACAATCGACAATACCACGTGACAAACATGTAGTCGTCTAGTGGGAAAACCATCAGCGCAACATCGAGACAAACATCGGCACCACAGCGGGTCACAATGGGACCAACCATCCGAAAAAACATCGGGACGACCTAAAGGACAACTAATGTTCGGCACAACTATTTGGACAACATCGGGACGAACATCGCGAAAACCTCCGGGGACGAACAACCAGCGGGACAAACCAACGGGACCAACACCGGGAATACCACGTGACAACCATCTAATCATCAAGTGGGAAAACCATCAGGACAACGTCGAGACAAACATCAACAACACAGCGGGTCACAGTGGGACCGACCATCGCATCGGACAAAACAATCGGGACAACCCACGGGACAACTAATTATCGGCACACCCATCTGGTCAGCATCGTGACAAACATCGCGATCCGGGGACGACCAACCATCGGGACAAACCAACGGGACAACCATCGGGAATACCACGTGACAACCATCTAGTCTTCAAGTGAGAAAACCATCAGGACAACATCGAAACAAACATCGGCACCATAATGGGTCACAAAGGGAACAATCATCGGAATAACCACCGGAACAACCTACGGGACAACCATCGGAGCATCATTGGGAACAAAATCGGGGAAAAGATCGGCACAACCATCGGGACAACCGTGGACCAGCCTTTGGGACAACTATCGGGACATCAATCGTAACGACCGTTGGGGCAACCACCGGGAATAAAAACAGGCCAAACATCTGAACAAGCATTATGAGATCCATCGGGACAGCCATAGGCACAACCATCTGGACAACCATCGGGGCATTATCGGGACAACAATCAGGACAACCATGGGGACAACATTCGGGATAACCATCGGGACAACGGAGAGGACAACGAAGGGGACAACCAACGGAACCACCGCGGGTACCATCGGGATAACCCACAGGACAACCATCGGGATATCCATCGGGACATCAATTAGGACTACCATAGGGAAAACCGACTATCGGAACAACCATTGGAACAACCATCTAATCAACCATTGGGACGACCATCGGGACAACCAACGGGACAAACATCGGCACAACCGCAGGGTGCAATCGAGACAATCATAGACACAACTACCGGGACATCCATCGGGACAACCATTGGGGCAACCATTGGGACATCCGCCGCACAACCATGGGGACAACCATCGGGACAACCATCGGGCAAACCACCGGGCCAAACATCGGGTTACCCATCGGGGCAAACAGCGGGGCAACCATCATCGGGACAACCGCGTGACAACTCTCGAGAGAACCCTCGGGGGCGCTCCCTGGCACACGGGGACCCGACTGAGTGTTGTTTAATCGATCCCCATCCCCAGCGGCATGGCCTGGGCCCCGCTGGCCGATTTACCCCCTTAGATGGGGATATGGGCCGCTCTCTTCGGGTTTCGAGGGGCGTATCCCCAACTGCGGTGGTACTTTGGTTCTTGTATCGGAGGAAGTAGAGATGGGGATGGGGATCGGTTAAATGATACCGACCGACTCATTCTAGCAGCCTGGGCCTAGCTAGAAGCAAGAGCTCGGCGCAGCGTCGCCTCGCCCGCACCCGCGCACGTCGGGCGGCGGCGGCGTCTGAGGGGATCTCGTCGAGCCGCGAAGGAACGGTGGCGTGTGGCACGGATGCCAGCTGGCTGCGACGACGGGGATGCGCGTGACAGTGAGGATGAAATTCGTGAGGACGACTGGCAAGAGGCGAAGGAGGAGGACGAGGAGCAGCAGGACGGGGACGAGGACGAGGATCAGGACAGGGATGAGGACGAGGAGCAAGAGTGAGGAGGATCAGGACGAGGAGGATGAGGACGAGGATCAGGTCGGGGACGAGGCAAGGGTGAGGACGAGGAAAAGCAGGACGGGGATGAGGACGAGGAGCAAGAGGCGAAGGCTCCCCCCTACCCTCTGCCATCCCCCTCTTCGATGGAAACTCGTGGGAACTTCCCAGACCTCCTTGTCGGCTCTTGCAAATCGACGCTAATCGACGGTAAATCGACGCTAAATCGAAGCTAATCGACGCTAACCGACGCTAAACCAGCGATATCCCATCGACTCCCAGACGCTCATCGAAGCTAATGACATAATTAACATGACGCACCGCGCTGCCATGATTTGCTACCGAACCCCGCCCGAACATAATACGCTGTACAAACATAAATTTTCTGCATCCGCGCGGAGTTCTGAGATCGGTGCCACCCATGGCGCTCTATGCGCGCCAGGGAGGGTGGAGGGAGCCCCGATCCAAGAAATCCGCGCGGACCTTCGAAAGTTGATGCATATGCAACTTAGTACTGTTATTATTCGCCTCCTTCTTCTTGAATCGGGCGTTGGCAAGACTGGATTCAGCGGGACATGGTTTCGTGATGTGTGCCAGGGGACGCCTTCCCCCGCCACATGCCACTAACTGGCACTGCGGAACCGCCGTCTCTCTGAGAACCACCAGCTACGACAAACCTGGTTCAGTGCATGGCTGAACCTGAACGGTGTCGTTCGTGCTCGTGCTGTTTTCGTGGTCCCTCGTCTTGTCTTGTTTCCGCCTCTGCCGCAAAACGGAGCCGAAACGGAAACGGCCCACGACATCGCCAAAACGCCGTTGAGGTCCAGCCCGTCCAGCGATGGCGGCACATGCTTGGGGCTCGGCTCGCGGACCCTCTGCACCGACAGGCTCCCCTCGCCCGGGGCCCTGGCCATCAGGGGCTAGTAGGGCACCCACAATAAGGACGTACAGTCGGGGCGTTGACCTAAGGAACCCTAAATAAGGAACGAGGCCCCTTTTCCCCACAAGTTGAACTTCGATTTCCCATGGAAAACCTCAGGAAAACCTAAGGCAAGCCGTAGAACAATCAAGGAACACCGAGCCCCTCCCCAACGAGAAGGGTTCCTTCTTCAGCGCCCCGACTGTACGCGCCCAGCTGCATGCGCGAACAAGCCCCGCCGTGCGCGGGGCCAACCTCGTGCCACGCCGGCTCACGCCGGGCGCACTGTCGAGACCAGCGTGGACTCATGCACGCGTGCGTCCTTCCTTCGCCCCCGACCTGCACCCGATTCTGCTCCTTTCCCACCCCTTTAGCGGGGACCGACCGTCCCGGCATTCCTAGCTAGAGGCATGCCATGAGATTCTCTTAGAAGCAAAAGCTTCGAAAAACAAAAGCAACGTTTTTCGAACAGAAAGGAGACGTGTTATTAAAAACGGCCTTGGGCAGAAATGTTCGAAGAATATTTCGTTCAAGCCACAAGGTTCTGAGAACACTCTGTGGTCGGCGTGCAGGCAAGCCAGGATGCCTCGCCACTGCTCGAGTATCCGATTCTGCTCCCCTCCCTCGGGGGCGGCCAAGAGGGGGGCTCGCAAATCATGGCTGGCGGCACGTGCGCGGCCCAGGGGGGCCGGGGACGCAGTCAAACACGCAGAGGCGCCATAAAATCTGGGGATATATCTATGAGGGCCCCAACCATACACCAACACCGATCCTGGCCAGGATCGGTGTTGATGTATAATTGGTACCCTCCGAGACATGGCCCCCGCCATGAGATCCCCCCCTAAACCATCACACCCCTCTGTGCCGCCCACGACTCCCAACCCTGCGGCGCGCGGTGTGCCCCCCACGGGCTCGGGCAGGGCGCCCGGGCACGCCCGGCCACCCTTGAGAGGAACCGTGAGGGGAAGAGGGAGGATCAGGGAGGATCAGGAGGAAGGAGAAGCGAGGAGGAGGGGGGCGGTAGGAGGAGCAAGGAAGGGGGAGCGAGGAGGACGAGGGAGGAGGAGGATGAGGAGGAGGAGGAGGAGGAGGACGAGGGCGAGGAGGAGGAGGAGGAGGAGGAGGAGGAGGAGGAGGAGGAGGAGGAGGAGGAGCTGGCGCGCGCCCGCTCCGCGCCACCGGCGGCCCTCGGCTCCGCGCCTCCCTGCGCGCGCACGCGGCCGTGTGTGCGGCCGAGACCGGCGGGGGGGGCGCGCGAGGCAGCGCCCCGCGGGCGACTCCCTCGCGCAGCCGCCCCGCCCGAGCGCGCGCGCCCTAACGCCGCCGCCGCCGCCATCGTCGGCGTCGGCATCGATCGTCGTCGTCGTCGTCGGCGTCGGCATCGATCGTCGTCGTCGTCGGCGTCGGCGTCGTCGTCGTCATCGGCGTCGGCGTCGGCGTCGGTGTCGGCGTCGGCGTCTTCGTCGTCGCCGTCGTCGTCGTCGGCGTCGGCGTCTTCGTCGTCGTCGTCGTCGGCGTCGGCGTAGTCGTCGGCGTCGGCGTCGGCGTCGTCGTCGCCGTCGCCGTCGTCGTCGTCGTCGTCGTCGTCGTCGTCGTCGTCGTCGTCGTCGTCGTCGTCGTCGTCGTCGTCGTCGTCGTCGTCCGGAGGCGGCTCCGATACCAAAGCGGATATCATATATTTATATATATACACATATACATCAGATGTATATCCCGTGGGTCCGTATGATGTTGGATGTTTGCCTTATGTCTCTGTCACTCCCTCCCTCCCTTAGCTCCCTCCCTCCCTCCATCCCTCCTTCCATCCACCCTCCCTCCCTCCCTTTCTCCCCCCTCCCTTACCCCACTGATACCTGAGCTTCCTCCCTCCCTCTCCATCCCTCCCTCCCTCCCTCCCTCCCTCCCTCCCCCTCCTCCTCACCCTCCTCCTTTTCCTGCCTGCTCCTCTTCCCTCCCCGTCCGCGGCCCAGCGCACGCGCGCGCGCTCAGTAGCCCCCGCGCTGCCCGCCGAAGACGACCGGTCCGCTGCCCGGTATCGGGGGCGCCGCCATCGTGGCCTCGCGCTGCGCCTCGGCGCCCGCAGCGCCCCCCGCGAGCCGATTGGACCACGCCGGGACAAATCACGACGAGAGGTTCCTGGACCTCCGAGGAGGTGATGTCTTCAATGGCGTTTCGCTTCGACTTATTCCTCCCAACCTCGTCAGCCGGCCCCCCTGGGGCCATCAAAAATGGATCCGGGACGCGAACTACCCCTGGGAGAGCTCTGCGGCCGCGGAATGAAAAAGACGTATCCGAGGATGATGGGGGGTTGCTTGTGTTCGGCCTCTCAGCATACCCTGGGACTGTCAAGAAACGACTCGGGGCGACAAGCTGGTCACCGAGAAGGGGTCCAGACCTGAGGCTGTTCACGTCGTGAAAAGATCACGACGTACGACGTCGGGGTGAGGAGCGGGTGACGAGGATCTGGAAGGGGCTCGAAGCATACACCAGGTCGCTGGTTCGGTGTATGCACGCCCCGCAGCTTCCCAAGCTCTGGGGTGATGGATTGGCTATGCAAGGCGGACGCGGAAGGGCCCCTCACAAGAAGCCCCACACTGAAGTTCCGCGCGCGAGGTGCAAGAGGGGAATGGAAACCGAAGTCCCGAATGCATCTGTCTCCTTGACAACCGCCACGAGTCACCGCGCAGCGCCCGGAGCAAGGACACCCAACGTGCCCTGCTACTCCCTGGACCTCTCCCGAGGTGCGTTCTGGCCAGGATCTCGAGGCGAATCCAGCGGTGGCGACGGGGGCCTCCCAGGAGGCTCAAAAAGAGGAAAACGAGAGAAAGGTAGCGGTATGGGTACCATGACCTCCTTTGAGACTCTCGATGCGCGTCCCACTGTACGCCGAGCTCTCGGGGCATCCGACGTCTCGAGTCTCTCCATGTGGAGCCCCCAAGAAGGCCTGCACCGGGGCCGGCTCTGCCCACCGCGTCGCTCGCTGTTCTCGTAGAGGCATCCTGGGTGGGGTCGGAATAGATGGGGTCGGAGGATCGCGCCGCGTCGCCGATACATCGGCGATGCATCGGCGATGCATCGGCGACGCATCGGCGATGCGCCGGCGACGCATCGTCGACGTGGGCGATGCATCGGCGACGTCGACGTGAAGAAAGCCGGGTCCGCATCGGGCCGCATCGGCGATGCACTGGCGATGCGGCGCGATCTTCCGACCCCATCTACTCGGACCCAATCTGGGAGGCCTAGAGTTCTCGGGACTGGGGGCCTCAGCGTTAGGTCGAGCGCGTCCTCCTACAGGCGGATTTTGGAAGCAAACATAAAAATACACAATAGATACTCCAAAATGGTCAAACATACCCTAGAATGGGCTCCAGACTAGTTTTGTCTATCTTTGAATATTCCTCCTGCAGAGGGACAGGCCCGACTTCACCCCAGCGAGTGCGCCCAAAGGCCTGGCACGGTGCACACAACGTCCGCGTGTTCAGGCTTCCTCGAGCGCTGGAGGCCTCTTGGCCTCTGGCCAGGGCCCCTGGCTCCCTGGCAACCCAAGCATAGTTTTGAAGGGGCGCAGAGAGACACACACACACACATGAATAGCTACAACTCCCACGATTCCCCATATATTTGTTCGTGCAAATTCTGGATGCTCGTGCTCCCCCCCCACTTCCCATACTGTTCCAAATGTTCGTGGGGATCGACGATGACCTCTGTGTGTGTGCGCTTCTCCTCCTGGGCCAAGGGCGTGTACGTCTCAGCCGGAGGCCCGGCCACAGACCTCCGGCGTGCTGCGAGAGCACTGCGCAGACCACGGCGTTGGAGGGGGCGGGGCCCTTACTCGCGCGCGCGCGCCCGCGCCCCGGGCGCGAGGCTGGTGACGTCTCGCCAGCACCGCCCGATGAACAGCGCTCGAGGGAGCGCAGCTCTGATCCTCCCCAGACCTCCAGCGCATTGGAGCAGAAGGGTGAAGCCGTGTTCCTATCGGGGATCTTGACCTGGGTCAATCCAGACCCGGGTCCATCAGGTTTTGCAGGATACGGCAAAATCCCAGCAAAGATCCTGCGCCCTAACCCCGGTCAAAGGAGCCGTGGCTACGCAGGATCCTGCAACATCCGGCGCTCTGGCTGGCCCCCGTTTGCATTGACTCCCGTCTCTTGATGAGCATCGTCTAACCGATCCCTATCCCCACTAGTGTGGCCTGGGCCCCACTGGCCGAGTTTCCCCACTAGATGGGGATATAGGCTGCTCCCTTCGCGTTTTGACGGGTAAATCCCCAACTGGGGTGGTGAGATGGTGGGGCTCGGGATGGGGATGGTGATGGGGGTCGGTGAAAAGATACTGACCTTCGGCCCCGGGAATGCCATCACCAGGCCGGGCTGAAAAGCAGGCCGCGGAGAAAGCGTCACGGGGGCCCAGTGTTAGTAAAGTCGAGACATCGAACCTTTGGGGCACCGAGGGCGACAAGATCGAAGATCAAGGATCGACTTGGCGCCGCCGATCGGGGGGGCTTCGTAAGACGAGGCCAGGACGAGGATAAACTCAGACAAGGAAACTAGAGAATCTCTGAGATCTGACGGCTCTGGAGGATGTTTGGTCGCCCATCCGATTTGTGGCCCATGGGGGATTCTCGTGGCCACGGCTGGCTTCCTCTCGAGATTCTAGTCGGAACGCACCCCGGGAGTGGACCAGGGGGGCAAGATCAGTCAGCATCCAATCGGGGAATCGGCTCGAATCGAGACGTTGAAACAGGGCTAGGATCGGGATAAATCGCTCCAGAGCGTTCCGGAGCGCTCTCAGAGCGTTCCGGAACGCTCTGGAGCGGCCGCGGCGCCCAATACATCCTCCAAACCCGCCGATTCTCCAAGATTTTGAGTTATCCCGATCCGATTTTGTCCCGATCTTCGCGTCGTTTTAAGACGTGCGCTGGATCGGGCCGCGTCGGCGAAGGCGTCGAAACCGAACCGGACCGGCCGCCTCACCAGGCACAAAACTGCGCCGTGCGAGCCTCGGGCCGCATGGGATCGCCAGGATGCCAGGGCCGAGTCGAATCGGGGCCGCTGGAACTGATGTCGACCAGATCGATCGTAGCGTTAGGTCGGGCATGTCCCCCCTACAAGCGGATTTTGGGCGAAAAATAAAAGATATAGTCAGCAAAACTATCCCCCAAATGATCACGCATAGTAAGAAATCGCCCCCTGACTATTCTTTCGCTATGTCTGCATTTTCCGTAGCGGCGTAGCGAGATTGACCCTTCTGGGTCGGGGGCGTCGACAAGAGGGGGCCGGTCGTCCAGGAGGCGGGCCCGTAAAAATCATTGAAGGGGCCCTGGGACACACACAAATAAATACACACAAATAATAGGATTCCCCACATCTTCCAATATTTTCTGGGTTTTCGTCTTCGAGTTGACGTTTCTTTGCGTCTGTGTGTTTCTTTCCCTCCTGAATCATGGCCGGAAGCATGTGCGTGTCGCCGGGGCTCCCCCGGAAGGTCCCGCCTCCAAAATCGGCGGCACCTCCTGGCCGACGTTTCGCCAGGCTCGAGTCCCGGCGGTCCACATGGAGGCCGAAGAAGGCAAACACGTGCTCGAACCCAGAACCTCGAACTTCTTCCCCCTTCCTGCTCGCCAGAACCGTTGCTGGGCCACCTCCCCAGCATCCGATCTATTGATATTTGTTTCAATGCGGCATTCCAATGATCGACCCGTTCCCCAGGACCCGTTTTGTTTCAACCTGAATCCTTGTTTAACGGTCCGTGGGCCTGGCGATGGCCCCCAGAAGCCTAAAACGACGGAGACCCTCCGCGTTCAAATTCTCAACGCGTTGAAGGTCTGGGTCGCAGACCCCAAGCCGGCTCCCAGAAAAGGGCCGCGATCTGACCCGCCGCGCGCGCCAGGCCCGGCGCCGGCGCCGCTACCGCCGCCGCCGCCGCCGCCGCCACCGCCGTCGTCGTCGTCGCAGCCGCCACCACCGCCGCCGCCGTCGTCGTCGTCGTTGTCGACGTCGTCGTCGTCGTCGTCGTCGTCGTCGTCGTCGTCGTCGTCGTCGTCGTCACCATCGGCGTCGGCGACGGCGTCGGCGCGCCCGGAACGACGCGGCCGGGCGGGTGGGAGGACGGCCTCGCGGCCGAGTGGAGCCTCGGCCGAGACGGGCCCGAGAGAATCGACGTTTCCCACCAGAGGGAGGCGGAGGAGGAGCAGGAGGAAGAGGAGGAGGAGCAGCAGGAGGAGGCGGAGGAGGAGGACGCGGAGGAGGAGCAGCAGGAGGCGGAGCAGCACGAGGAGGCGGAGGAGGAGCAGGACATAAAATGGCGATAACCATGAGCTCCATCCGATGTCTCTGGAGAGAGCTGAATGCGCTGTGCACTTCAACTGGAACAAATCCCACCAGCCCTTTAGGGCGTAGGTGGTCTAGAGAGTTTCCTCTGCCAACCCTCCTTCTTTCCCTTCGGGGAGGGGTTTACCCCTCCCCTTACCCCTCCCCACTGACCTGGACGGGGCGTTCCGCGACGCGTTGGGATGTCCAAGATGGCCCAAGACGGCTCCAAGAGCGAAAAGGCGAGAAAACACAAAACATTGATTTTACCTAGGTTTTGGAAGGATTTGGGCCTCTCGGGGGGGCCCAAGAGGCGATCCGAGGCACTCTAGAGGGGCGAGGCTAATTAAGGCTCCCCCCTTCTTTGATAGATCTCCTCCAAGATGGCCCCAAGAGCGCCCCGAAGGCTCCCAAGAGCGCCCCAAGAGCGCCCCAAGAGGGCCCCAAGAGACCCCAAGAGGCCCCCAAGAAGCCTCCAAGAGGCTGCCAAGAGACCCCCAAGAGGCCCCAAGAGAGTCCAAGATGGCCCAAGACGGCTCCAAGAGCGAAAAGGCGAGAAAGCAAAAAACATTGATTTTACCTAGGTTTTGGAAGGATTTTGGCCTCTTGGGGGGCCCAAGAGGCGACTCGAGGCACTCTAGAGGGGCAACGCTAATTGGGGACCCCCTCTTCTTTGATCGATCTCCTCCAAGATGGCCCCAAGAGCGCCCCGAAGGCTCCCAAGAGCGCCCCAAGAGCGCCCCAAGAGCGCCCCAAGAGGCCCCAAGAGGCGCCCAAGAGGCCTCCAAAAGGCTCCCAAGAGACCCCCAAGAGGCCCAAGAGGCTCCCAAGACGGCCCAAGACGGCTCCAAGAGCGAAAAGGCGAGAAAACACAAAACATTGATTTAACCTAGGTTTTGGAAGGATTTTGGCCTCTTGGGGGGGCCCAAGAGGCGATTCGAGGCACTCTAGAGGGGCGACGCTACTTACGAACCCCCCCTTCTTTGACAGATATCCTCCAAGATGGCCCCAAGAGCGCCTCGAAAGCTCCCAAGAGCGCCCCAAGAGCGCCCCAAGAGGGCCCCAAGAGGCCCCAAGAGGCGCCCAAGAGGCCTCCAAGAGGCTCCCAAGAGACCCCCAAGATGCCCCAAGAGGCTCCCCGAGATACCCAAGAGACCCCCAAGGCGCCCCAAGACGGCCCAAGAGGCCCCCAAGCTCGCCATTGTCCTCCTCCTCCTCCTCCTCCTCTTTTTCTTTCTCCTCCCTCCTCCCCCTCCCTCTCCTCCCTCTCCTCCTCCTCCTCCTCCTTCTCCTCCTCCTCCTCCTCCTCCTCCTCCTCCTCCTCATCCTCCTCCTCCTCCTCCTCCTCCTCCTCCTCCTCCTCCTCCTTTTCCTTCTCCTCCTTCTCGTCCTCCTCGTCCTCGCCCTCCTCCATCTCCTCCTCCTCATCTTCCGCCTCCTCCTCCTCCTGCTCCTCCTCCTCCTCCCCCTCCTCCTCCTTCTCCTCCTCCTGCTCCTCCTCTTCCTCCTCCTACTCCGACGACGACGACTCCTCCTACATCCTCCCCCTCTTGGGGTATATGGCGGCTTACCCCGCCCGTTGTTCTTCTGCATACTCCCCCGCTTCCCTCATCACCTCTACTCCCCTGGGGCTCATTTCTGGACGGGCTGGTGGGGATACGCGAAGCGTCTAGAATTCATCATATACGAACATGCAATCTGCATCATGCTTCTGGGAGGAGAAGGAGGAGGAGGACAAACAGGAGGAGGACAGGAGGAGGCGGGAGGAGGAGGAGGAGGAGGAGGAGGAGGAGGAGGAGGAGGAGGAACGAGGAGCAGGAAGGAGAGTGACATGACAATCACCACGAGCTCCATCCGATGTCTCCGGAGAGAGCTGAGTTGCGCTGTGCACTTCAGCTGGAACAGGTTCATCAGCTACGATCATGCAACCTGCACTGTGCTTCCTGGAGGAGGAAGAGGAAGAGGAGAAACAGGAGGAAGAGGAGGAGGAGGAGGAGGAGGAGGAGGAACGAGGAGCAGGAGAAGGAGGAGGAGGAGGAGAAGCAGGAGGAGGAGGCGGAAGAGGAGGAGCAAGAGCAGGAGGAGGGCGATCTGACCCGCCGCGCGCGCCGGGCCCGGCGCGTGGAGCAGCGGCGCGGCGCGCCCGCCGACGCGGCCGCCGCCGTCGCGGCCCGACGCCCTCGCGGCCCGCACGGCCGCCACCTGGCCGCCGCTCGCGGTCGCGCCGCCGCCGCCGCCGTGGTCTGGGGCGCAGAAGTGGAGGGTTCCAAGGGGGGGGTTGGGGGGGAGGGGGTCTTCCAGGAGGGGTCCCCCAGGGGCTGCGCACCCCCTGTTTCTGACGAGGCTCCGAGGTCCCTGGGGGGCCCTCCGGAAAGCTCCCTCTCCCAGAACCCCTTCTGGAGGAACCCTTCGGCCGAAGGTCACAGATGCGAATCGACGCTGATCGACGCTAGATCGACTCTAAATCGATGCTAAACTGACGCTGACCAGCGCAATCTCATCAACTACCAGATGCTAGTCGACGCCAGTACACTCTAAAGACGGATTTACGAAGGCACACAAGGCCCCCATGAATTGCAACCGAAGCCACCTTCCGGGCAGGATTCATATCAATATGCAGCACCCCGCAGTTGCGGATAGAGTGAGGTGGCGGGCGTGGGGTGGATCGCGGAGTGCAGAAGGACATGTCAGAGTGAGGGGGCAGAACGGTCATTCATTGTCGCTGGGTGCGTGGCTGAAGTGGGGTTCCCCGGTGCGGATTGTTATTACGGTGATATTTGCTGTTGTCTGTTACCGGTTACTGGTTGTTGTTGCTGTCGCCGTCCCACTCGCGACCCGGCCCGTGACCCACCCGCGACCCGCCCGCGACCAGAGGATGGAGTACGGGATGAGCAGGAAGGAGGCTAGGCGCAGAAACACGTGGCAGAATCAGACGGGCGGGTAGACCAAAACGGGCTGATCAGGTCGAGCAGGCGGCTTTTAAGCGTGATTACTGCATGATTCGCGAAGAGGTCTCGAGCGATAGCGCGAGTCAGGAAATCCACAGCGAGAGCGTGATTCCTGAGTGTCGAGGGCGCGGCGTCTGAATCATGGCGGGAGTCCCACGCGAGAGCGCGATTCTTGTACACATTGTTCGGACGTCCCGCGCGAGAGCGCGATTCAGGAATAACTGGTGAGGAAGTATCCGGCGGGAACTGCTGTTGTTGTAAACCGGGGGCCAGCCCTAGGGGCGCACTTTGGTGACACTTCGCTTTCCCTCGTAAAAAGCTGGGTGCGAGCCCCGGGAGAAGCACTGGGCACGGGGACAACTATAACAATTTCGTTGAATAGGAACTCAACAACAGCAACAGCAACAACAACTGCAACAACAACAACGGCAACAACAACAACGACAGGGACCTTCCCTAGGCCCCGGCGCTTGGGCTCCTCCAACGCTCTCCTCCGGGGGGGGGGCGCGAATCGTCCTTGGGCCCCGGGGTTCCCCCCGCTCAACAAAAACAACAACAGCAGCAGCAGCAGCAACAACAACAACAACGCCGGGAATTAATAAAAAATCGGAGGAGTCCCTCAGGACTCCAGAGCTGCATCGGAATGGTGACTTACGTGTGCGCGCTAGAGAAGCGAGGGATTCTATCGAAACCCTGCTGCAGGCATCCTATAGAAACCCTACAGCCATCCCATAGAAACCCTACAGCCATCCTATAGAAACCCTACAGGGACCCTATAGAAAACCTACAGGCATCCGATAGAAACCCTACAGGCATCCGATAGAAACCCTACAGGCATCCTATGGAAACCCTACAACGATCCGATAGAAACCCTACAGGCATCCGATAGAAACCCTACAGGCACCCTATAGACACCCTACAGGCATCGTATAAACAAAACCGTACAGAGATTCGATCGAAACCCTGCAAGGCATCCGATAAAAACCCTACAAGGTATCCGATAGAAACCGTGCAGGGGCACGATGGGAAACCTTACAAAGTTTCTATAATAACCTACAGGGACCCGGTAGGAACGCGAACAGGGATCCGATAGAAACCCTACAATAATCAGGTTTACTTTGAAAAAGAACGTCAGGGATCCGATAGAAACCGTACAGGGGCCCGATATACATATATATGTGTGTGTATGTACATATACTATATATATATGTATATATATATATCTATATATATATATATCATGTGTACATATATAAATACACGCATCATACCAAAAAACACCCTAGCAGGGATTATGAAGAAACCCTCCAGGGAACCGATAGAAGTTCTACAGGGGGAAAAGAAGCCAACACAACAAAAACAAACAAACAAACAACCGACAAGGATCCTACAGAAACCCGATAAGAATTCGACAACAACCGATAAAGATCCTACAAAAACCCTACAACATCCAACGGAAACCCTCAAAAGGATCATCCGGAAACCCGATCATAATCCTACAGAAAACCGGTAAGGATCCTACAGAACCGCGGTAAGGATCCTACAGAAACCCTTATCCGGATCCCACAGAAACCCAAGAAGGATCCTACAGAAACCCTTTAAGGATCCTGCAGAAAACATGTAAGGATACTCCTTTTCAATCCTAGCAGCTGTCATCGGATCCCTATAGGGATCCTACCAGCTGTCATCGGATCCCTATAGGGATCCGACCAGCTGCCATCAGACCCCTACATCGATCCGACCAGCTGCCATCGGATCCTAGCCGGGATCCGACCAGCTGCAATAGGATGCCTACGGAGATGCTGCCAGCTGTAAAAGGATCCCTACAGGGATCCTACTAACTGTGACAGGTTCCCTGTCGAGATCCTACCAGCTGCAATCGGATCCCTGCAGGGATCCGACAGCTGTCATCGGATCCCTATACGGATCCTACCAGATATAACGGGATCCCTATAGGGATCCTACCAACTGTCATAAGATCCCGATCAGGACCCCACCAACTGTAATACGATTCCGATACGGATCCGTCCAGCTGCAATAGGATCCATTCTGGGATCCGACCAGCTGCAATAGAATCCCTGTAGGGATCCTACCAGCTGCCATAAGATCCCTATAGGGAATCTACCAGCTGTGATAGGAGCCCTGTAGAGATCCTACCACCTATACTAGACTCGCTGTAGGGGTCCTACCAGCTGCAGCAGGATCCGTAAAGGGATCCGACCAGCTGTAATAGGATGCCTATGGGGATCCTACCAGCTGCAAAAGGATTCCTGTAGAACCCTACCAGCTGCACTAAGATCATTTCAGGGATCCTACCAGCTACAATAGGATCCCTACACGGATCCTACCAGCTGCAAGAGAACCCCATACAGGGGTCCTACCAGCTGCAATCAGACCTTTATAACAATCCTACCAACTGCAATCAGATCCTTATGGGGATCCTACCAGCTGCAATCGGATCCCCACAGGGATCCTACCAGCTGTAATAGGATCCATATCGGGATCCGACCAGCTGCACTAGGATCCCTATAGGGATCCTACCAGCTGCAATGGGATCGCAATAGGGATCCTACCAGTTGTAATGGGACCACTTATAGGGATCCTACCAACTGTCATCGGATCCCTATAGGGATCCTACCAGCCGTTGACCGTGTTTGGTGATGAACCTTGGAAGAGGCCTAGTAAGAGTCCGTACTCAACATCACCGCCACTACCACCACTTCCACCACCACCACCACCAAGACAACCACCACCATCATCATCATCATCATCATCATCATCATCATCATCATCATCAGCATCATCAGCATCGTAATCAGAATCAGCTTAATCATCATAATCACCAGCATCACCATCATCATCACCATCATCAGCATCATCACCACCACAACCATGACCATCATCATCAACATCATCATCAGCATCATCATCACCACCATCATCATCACCATCATCACCATCAGCATCATCATCAGCATCACCATCAGCATCAGTATCACCACAACCACCACCACCATCATCATGATCATGATGATCATCATCATCATCAACATCATAATCATCATCACCACCACCATCATCATCATCATCATCATCAGCTTCATCAAAATTATCATCCTTTTCTCAGTCGATGGCGGACCGAGACGATGGGGTGGCCGTGTCTTGTAGGAGACCTGGGAGGAGGTCGAGTTGGATCCCGACAGTGCGTCCCTTTGGGTGTCTGGGGGCCGTTTGGGTCTGGGGGCGTGGGACTGCGGGGACGTAGGGGTGGGGGGGGGGCGCCGAGGCCCCAGTGTAGGAATCTATCGTTCCTCAGCGAACTGCAGGGAAGTCTCGAGCGGGAGCCGTCCGCGTTGTTGTTATGGTCGTTGTTGTTGTTGTTGTCATTGTTGTTGTTGGTATTGTTCTTGTTGTTGATGATTTTGTTGTTGTTGTTGGTGTTGGTGTTGAACATTATTTCTTCTTAAGAATAATTATTGTTGGGGCCCCTGGTGCATGGCCCCCCCGCCGCGCCTAGGCCGCAGCCTCATTTTTATCATTTTCGTGAGGAAGTCTCAGGCAAAACGATGTGTACCAGATCCGGTTGTGTTGTTACGATCGGTTTTCCCTTGCAAAAGAATAAGGCAAAGTGGACATTTCTTGTTCTAACATACCCAAACTTCAAGAATCCCTTGCAACAAAAAAAAAAGTAAAGTGGACACTCGCGCGCGCAAGACGAAATCCTTCCAAAACCTTAGTGTTCGTAGCGATTTTAACATAGAAACATCAAAAACCCAATGGTTTTTTGTTTAAAAAATGTCAAAATTTCATCCCGCGCGCTCTTGCGGATTCGTAAGAAACCCAACACTTTTTAATCATTGCTGTCAAACGGGGTTTTGCGAGCCACTTTTTCGAACTTCTGCAACAACGGTTGCGCACCTGCCAGGGCCATCATCCCTGTCAAATAATACCATGCGGGACACATTCGTTTTTTCTTCGCGCGCGCACGCCGTCGTCGTCGGCCGCGGGGCCCTGAATAGTAGCCACGGTCGTCCGCATGCCACGAAGTGAAGTGTCCGAACGTCATAGGGCGGGAAGCTGGGTGTGGGTGGTGGCGAAGAGTCGTTTGGAAATTTGGTAGAGCTTGAACCGGCCCCCCCACAAAGTGGGGGTATTGCCCGCCTCCTATGAAAACCCTGGCACTGGTGAGAACGGTGTGTCCCCACGTGCTAGTAATTGTTGTTGTTGTTGATGTTGTTGTGGTTTGGGGGGTGGAGCGCGGGGGCCCGGCGCCCGCTCCGATTCAACAACAACAACAACAAGAACAAAACCATCACCACCACCACCACCACAACAACGACAACGACAACGACAACGACAACAGCAGCAGCGGCAGCAACAACAACAACAACAGCATCACCAGCAACACCGGCAGCAGCAGCGACAACAACGACGGCCTCACTCGGTAGCCTGCGCGGGCCGCTGAGAAGCGACACGCCGCGTGGGTAGAAGGGCGCCTGCACCTGCGCGACCAAACGCGGGCAGCTCTCACCCGCCGCTTACTCGCACTCGAGCTGCCCGCGTAGGTCGTCGTCGTCATTCGCCGACTCTTCGCGCAGCCGGCACGGCTCGTCTTCCTCGCCGGCCACGGCCGTGGTCGTCGCCAACGCCCCCCTCGACGTCGTCGTGCTGCCGCCTGGCCGCTCATGGTCATGTCCCGCAGGCGTTTCGTCTCCTCCTCGAGCATCACCTTCTCGAACCGCACCTGGTCTATCTCCTGCTGCTGCAGCTCGATCAGCCGCTGCTGCTCGCGGAGTCTCCTCATGATGCGGCTGTCGGTGGACATGGCGATGCCATGGACAAGGCTGGGAAATCCACTCCGTGAAAGCTCCTCACGTTCTGAGTAGAAGAAGCACGTGCGTAAACACTCTGAATTCGAGGGGTCTCGGAGTTTACAGGGTCCATGAGGTTCTTTGGGCCAATACTTTGACTGTACCTCCCACTTTCTGCATCCCCGCTACCACCCCATGCCAAACTGGGCACCAGATTGAGAAAAACGATGTAAGTCGTCTTGGAAGCGAAGACTGTGATGATATTCGAGCTGTACCCACTGCCCTTCCTATTTCTGGTCCGTTCTCCTTTCCCACTCACTCTCCGATCATCCTCTGGAAGTTTGAGCGCTGGAGCATTTTGCTGCGCTTCCAGACCTCAAACTTTCTGATTTGTTCAATGCGGGCCCTCCCGCGTGACCCGTTCCTGGGGACGGGTATCTCACATCGGATCCTCGGATCATTGCTGGCTCGCCCTGGAGCCGATAAAAACACCTCCAGACGCCGAACATTGCAAAACACCTCCGTAGCGATCTGCCCGAGACGCTGGAGGTCTGGGTAGAAGTGTTGGCGGCGCGCACAAGGGGGTAGAGGAGGGGGGAAGGCTTCTTAGAAGGAGGCTGCTTCTTAGAAGGCGCCGCCTTGCATCTACAGATAAGGCCCGCGCCTTCTCCGAAGCAGGGGTGCTTCTAAGAAACCTTCCCCCCTCCCCCTACCCCCTCTACGCGGGGCCGAAAGTGATGGAGCGCAGGAGCATCCCGCTGCCTGGATTCCCAAACCCTCAATGGACGGTCTGCTCGTAGTCGGTCGTGGCCTCGTCGATCTTCTCCTGCAGCCGCCGCTCCAGGTCCTGGATCCTGGCGCAGCTCTCCTCGAACTCCTGGAGTCTGAAGTCCAGGCCATCCTCAGGGGGGCAGAAGTCTTGGGCGCGAATTGATGGGAGGCGATCGCTGGGGAGGAGGGGGGGGGGGGGGAAGGTGACCTTTCCAGACCCGTAAGGCCTCCTCTTGTGCCCGAAAGGGCCACTTTGGAGGCCGTGCACGGCGCCTTCTCTGCAGCCCGCGCTGCTCCCCCCATTGATCGTCCCCCCCATAAAGCAGAAGGCCCACCAAGAAGCCAGGACCGCACGCAGCGAGATGCCGCCTCTCAGATCCGGCCCTGCCAGAGAGCATTGCAGCATCGCAGACAATCACGACCAGAGCCTCAAACCCCAGCTTTCTGCTGCGCCTTCCGAGCTGGATCGATCCGTGATGGTCGCGGGGCCCAAAACTGGGCCGAAGCGCCTGATGTGAAAGAAATGCGCCGCCTGGATCTGAAGGACACCCTACGGGGCCGAAAAATTATACGCCACCACCACCTCCCTATTCCCATCCATCTCCCAGGAGAGAGCAGCGGAGGAGGGGGCTGGGCACGCGTGCGAGCGGACGGCGCACCCGGCCACACCGGGGGGCGAGCTCTGCAGAGACCCGCGGCCACACCCGCGTCACACCCCCCTGTGCCCCTCCGTCTTCGCGCGTCGCGCCCCGCGACGCGCAGAAGGCGGGCACAGTGGTGGGCCTGTCTTCCACCACCACCACCTCCACCAGAAGTTGGAGGGGAAGGGGGTCTTCCTCCTCCTCCTGCTCCTCCTCCTCCTGCTCCTCCTCCTCCTCCTCCTCATCTTCCTCCTCCTCCTCCTCCTCCTCCTCATCTTCCTCCTCTTCCTCCTCCTCCTCAACAGATGGCAATGGTGGCGGAAAACAGGCCCACCGTACAGAGAACACAAAAGATACACACATCCTTGAGGGACCGGCCGCCCGGGCAAGCCGACGGCCCTGCCACGGGATGCTCTCAGGAGAACAGGACACTCCCATAGCAAGCACTACGCTCTAAGGGCACGGTCCAGACGGATCCGCACAAGACTGTCAACACCATACATGCTCTGAGAACAGGTGGAGCAGGCCACACAAATAGATCAGAACATCGATTGGCGGGCCTGCAAGTCAGGCCGTTGTCGCAACTGCTCGAAATACCGCTGCTCCCGAGACCTCTGCTGGGATGCGTTCTGCCTAGAACTTCGATGCGAATCCAGCCGCGGCGGCGAGGGCCTCCCCGGAGGCCCAGTGGCAAAAACGGGGCGAGGGCAGCGGTGTGTCGGCAGCTTGTCCAGCTCTGAATTGCCTTCGCGGTCGCGCGCAGCCGCCCCTGGAGAAGGGCGCGCCCAGGCCGCGATGCGCGAGGCGCGGCTCTTCTCTGGGACGAGCGACGTCATGATAGGATTTACTCAGGGTGCGCTGCAGGATGTCTGAATACTATCTAGCGGCCCGCGTTTTGCGCGGGCCGCGTGGAACAGTCGAAATCTTAGAAACCCTTGGAACTCTGGAACGTATCATCATCATCATGACCTGGTGCACCTCTGATTATCGTTAGGTCGGGCACGACCTCCTACAGGCGGCCGTTGAAGACATATATCGAGATATATATATATATATATATATATATATATATTCATATATTCACACATAAACATATATAATAATTATAAACACGACAATGGGACAGAAACTGATGGAGAAACATCGTCCACTTACGATTTTTCAACTGTGCTCGAATACCCCTCCTGTAGAGGGACCTGCTCGGCTTGTGAGGATCACCGCGCCCCTGCGCACTGCCCTGGGCACCCCGCCGCTGGGCCGCGCCGGGTGGGGGGGGCGCGCCGTGGGAGGGGCCAGGGCCGTCCTTGACGGGGCGGGGGCACCCGTCGTGGGGGCAGCCCTCGTCCTCCTCCTCCTCCTCCTCCTCCTCCTCCTCCTCCTCCTCCCACGCTCCACCTCTGCCCCCCCTCGCTTCCAGACCCTCCCTTCCTCCCCTCCCCCCGTCCCTCCTCCTCCCCCTCTCGTCCCTCCTTGCCCCGCCCCCCCCTACTCCTTGCCCCCTTCTGAGGAGCCTTCCCCCCTCCCCCCACCCCCCTCTGCGCGTGGCCGAAGCCTGCTGAACCACCCTGGCTTCTCCGAACAGGGGGAAGGGGAATCAACCATGATTTCAACACACAAACTCGGAGGCCCGCGCAGATTTTCTCGGATCGGCGCTGGGGCATGCTCATGTCACTGGTTACTCCTAATAGGCATAGGGATTTCGCCACGTGATGCGAAGCTCCCCCCTCCCCACCGAATCCCCCTCCTCTTCCTCCTCTGTACATCCTCCTCCTCCTCCTCCTCCTGCTCTTCTTATTCTTCTTCTTCTTCTTCGTCCTCCTCCTCCTCCTCCTCCTATGATTCGCGTCGCGTGACGGATCGAAGTCGCCGACATACGGAAGCACTCGGAGGCTTTGAAGGCAGGGGGTGCGCAGGCGCGGAGAGATCCACCATGGCTGCTTGGGGCATCGACCTCCGAGAGCCCCGGCAAGCCGCGGACATGGACGTGCTCGGCACCCCGCACGAACGTAGCCGCGTCCAACGCCCCCCTCCGAGGCCCCCGCAGCTAGACCCCCCGGGAGGTGGTTACAGTAATTAGGAGCTCCACCACAAGGAACATTCCATCTGAGACCCCAGGACGTCCTCTGATTTTTGGTGTGGGAAGGTCACGCTTCCCATAGCAAAACCATCGGACCCCAAGAAACCCAGGCCACCCTAGAGGCAAGCAGGATGCTTCCTGGCATGGGTCTCCACTGCAATTATGAGGCATTCATCGCCTCGGCAGAGAGCTTCCGAGACGCGGGGTCTCTGCTTGGAAGCGCCACCCACACACCTCGCATCACTCCCTTCTGTGCGGGCCCCACCCCGCCACGTGAACAATGAAAGCAGGGAGAAGAGGAACGGCCTGCTCCTCAAGCAGCTCTGCCCGTGGGTCAGAGTACCCATCCAGGGGGAGTGCCAGCGGCAAACACAGTGGCCATCGAACTGCTAGTCAACATGCAAAACCAAATGCCATCGAAAGGAAACATCGGAATGCACCCAGACATGCGACGCCCTGATTTGTTCAAAACGCGGTCCCCGGAAGTCCCGACCCTTTGCCCAGGGCCTTTTTTGCATCCTTTGAGCAGGGACCGACCGTCCCGGCATTCCTACAGTCCTACCACGAAATATTCTTAGAACCCAAAAATGCTCGAATAACAAAAACAGTGTTCTTAGAACAAAAGCCTCATGCCTTCAAACAAGACAGTCCCAGCAAGACATGTTCTAATAACATTTCGTGGAAACCACGACATGTTCTTAGAACTTTGTTTGGTAAGGCTATAGGCACGCCGGGACGCTTCGCCACTGCTTGAATCCTGAATCGTTTTTTGACGATTCCAGGGCCCAACGAGGCTCCCCACGCAAAGGCCGAGCATGGCGAACAAAAAAAACGTCCGGAAATTTCCACGACGCGACCCCGAACCTGGCCGAACAACCTCCGTCCTGAATCTTGGACGCCCGAAATGGGTACGGAAAGAATGGGTACAATGCCCAACAACAAATGTTGTCCCAAACCAACAGCGGCCGCTGTTGGGCAGGCGGCCTTCTGTCTCGAAGGAGCAGATGCCGCGGCGGCGTGGCCAACGAGTCCTGTTCAAAGTGAACCAGATCCGCTGTTGAGCATTGTACCCATTCTTTCCGTGCCCATTTCGCTCGTGCAGATGAACTTTTCGCGACGCGAATCATGCCTGAGAACATCGGAACGAAGGAGGGCCGCCACCCTGTCCGAGCCAGCACGAGCGAGGGCAAAGAGGGACCCCCGGCGGACGTGGCAGGCCCTGGGGTCGGGAGCGGCCAAGACGGGGGTGTCCAAGAGGGGGGGGTGCAAATCATGACCAGCGGCATGTGCGCGGCCCAGCGGGGGGGCCTGGGACGTAATGAAATAAGAAGAGGCGCCATGAAATCTGGGGAGATATCATGGCCCCCGCCATGATATCCACCCCCCCTAGTCATCACCCCCCTCTCTTCCTCTCACGATGGGGGGAGCCTGGGGGGGAGTCCCCAGGGCCAGGCCTGCGCCCTCCGACGGCCCCGTGGGCCCCCCGGGAGGGCCCCAGGGCCGGCTGCGCTGCGCTGCGCCGCGCCGCGCTGGGCGGCCAAGAACGCCGACGCGCGCAGGCGGGGCAGAGACACAGAGGAGGAGGGAAGAGGATCGCCTGAAAGTGCACACGTCCTGCTTCGGCTCCTCCTCCTCCTCCTCCTCCTCCTCCTCCTCCTCCTCCTCCTCCTCCTCAGCCATCGTGCCATTCCCGAACCCTGCCGCTGGGCCGCCCCCGCGCGCCCGCCTCGTGTTCGAGCGATGCCGACGGCGAAGCACGCCCTGGATGCCGCCCGCGGCGCGGCCCTCGCGGTCCACGCGGCGGCAGGGCTGTCGGGCGGCTTGGAGCAGCGCGAGGCCACGCGCCTGCTCCGTGCTGCCGAGGGCCTCGTGCGTGCCGCGGTGGCCAGCCTGGCGGCGCCGCCTGCGCCCGCCCTGCCAGCCCGAGCGGCTGACCAGCCTGCCGCGCCCCCTCGGCGGCGGCGGCGGCCACGCGGCGGCGCGAAGGTCGAGGCCGCGGGCATGGACATCGACTCGGCCCACGAGGTCAAGGGGGAGGCGCAGACCGACGGCGGCACTGACGGCGCGGGCGCTGCGACGCGGGGCGGTGCCCCTGGCGCGGAGCCCGCACGCGGGGACGCTGGCGGCAAGTCGGAGCTCGAGCCCGACGACTGGGCCGATGGCCTGGTGAAGGCGGCGCCTGGCGAAGTGCAGGCAGGCGGGCCGCGGGAGGTCCCCGGCATGATGGACGGGGACCGCGTGCGCTTCCCCGATGGGCGCGGGGGCTGGCAGTTCGGCCTGCTGTACGGTGACCCCGTGCCCGAGGACGGCCTCGTCTGCGTCCTGCTCGGCCGGGGGCGCAAGGCGACCGTCCAGCAGGTCGCCCACGTCGACGTGGAGCTGGCGCCCGTGGCGACGGTTTCTGGGGCGGCGGAAGCGGCGGCGGGCAAGAAGGGCAAGGGCGACAAGTAGGGGCCTCCGCCCCTCCTGTGTCCGCGCTGCTCTTCGACCCGCTGCGCTTCCACATCTGAGTCGCACATCTGTGTGCGCATGTCGGCTAACTGTCGCCGCCCTCGGTCCTGCCCACTGGCTCGCAGAGGAAAAAAAATCCTCCTCCTCCTCCTCCTCCTCCTCCTCCTCCTCCTCCTCCTCCTCCTCCTCTCCTCGACTCCGGAACCTCCTGACCCGGGTCAATGCAGACCCTGGTCGGTCAGGCCTGGCAGGATCCTGCAAGAGCCTGCACCCAAGCCCGGGTCGGTGCGGAGGGTCCTGCAGGATCCCGCTGGATCCTGCACCCACGTCGGGATCATTGCGACCCTGGTCCTGCAGGATTATCCTGCAAGACCTGGCGCCCTGGCTGACCCCCGTTTGCATTGACCCCCGTCTCTTCAGCCCCGAGAGGAGTGGGGCGCGAGGGCGCCGGGCGCCGCATGAACGACGATCAGAAACGGGTCTTGCGCGAGACGGAGTGGCGACCTTACGCGGCGGCTTGCGCGGGCCGCCAGCGCGGCAACACATCGCGTGCGCTGGAGTCGAGGGCGCTCACGCGCGAGCCTGCGTGGGCAGCTCACGCGCCAACGTCGGCGCAGACGACTCAGTTTTTTTCCGTCGCTCACAACCACTGTGCAGGAAGAGTGCTACAGTCGGACTTGATTTGACAGGCCACGCGAGAGGACACAAGATCCTTCCGAGGTTCCGAGGGCCACATTGCCATAGCAAGGTAAGGAGGCATCGGCCGCCAGACACAGGACATCAAAGCTCCCTTGATTTGGTTGGGTCGACCTACTGATCCGGGCCGACTGTACGGGTAGTTGCCTCCATACTGCAGTGGCCTGCCATGGCTCCCGCAGCAGTTCGCCAGTCGATGGGCCAGGGGGAGAGCCCCGAGCACGGCGAGAAGCCCCGAGGGCCCCATTCAGACCCTCCGAGACCTCGCCGGGGGCACCCAGCAAGGGCAAGAGGTGCCACCGGAGGCCACCTGGTCTTGAAGGCAACCGCTTCGGGGGGGCAAGACGAAGTTTGGCTGCAGCGGCGCTCGCCCCTAACGAGTTGCTCCCCTCTCTTCAGGCGGTGTGGCCGTCCTTGAAGAGCCGCACGTCTTCGCTGAGCATGCCCGTGACCCCCCCGGAGGAGTCCACGTAGAGCATCTCCGCGAGGCGCTGCTGGTCCACCTGCAGAAGCGAGTGCGCCGCGTTGAGATCGGCGAGCTGCTCCTGGTACTGGTCGCTCAGCTGCTGGATGTCCATGTCCTGCTCCTCCTCGGAAGCGAGCGGCGATCAGGCATGCGTCTTACGCGAGAATCTAGCGACCTTACGCGGCTGCTTGGGCGGGCCGCCAGCGCGGCGCGCCACGTTGGAGACGAGGGCGCTTCCGCGCGACCTTCCGCGGGGAGCTCGCGCGCCAATGGTTGGCGCAGACGGCTCCTCTGTTTCGCGGTCGCTCAAGGGGGGAACTGGTTCGGGGGGGGGGGGAACGTTGGCCTGGGATCGGCGATACACCGCCGACAGATCGGCGAGAGGCCCCCGACAGCGAGACCTCGCGGTCCTGGGCGGGAATTGGAGATTGGGAGTCGATGCATCCCCCTCTGAGCCTGTCCCCTCGTCACGTTGCCACTGAGTAAGCAGGGCGCCAACGATGCACACAGGCGCAGCTAAGCACCTGCATGCACTCCACCACGGAGCCGGACCGAGATCGCCCTGGGCCTTCTTGCCCTGGCCAGCCCTGGCAGGACCCCAACGACACAGCACAGCACGAGCAAAAACGCTCGAAGCCGCAAGCCGTGCAGCTCGAACCCCGAAACCTCGTTCCGCCCCCACCCCTGGCGGCCTTCGGGCCGCAGCTCGGGCCTCTGGCGGCCGCTCGGGGCGAGTCGGGCCCCCCGGGGGCACGCTCTCACGTGGAAGCTTGGGAGCGGGCACCGGCAGCACCACCAGGAGTTGCCTCCACGGGAGGAAGATGATCCTGGATTTTGGTGGTTGGTGGTCATCTCTCGGCCACCCAGGGAGTTCGAACAGTACCACCATCACCGAACTCGGGATCCTCTTCCCTCGGTGGAGGCACACCGCCGCTAACTATTGGTGCTGGTGTTTCCCCCTAGGCCTCCGAGAACGACCGAGAACCGACCAACATGTCCGAAAGCCCTGAGCCTCGTCTAGAGAAAGAACAAAAACCATAAACATTAAGCTTGTGGCGCTCCGCGCGGGCTTCTTGGATCTGCGCTGGACCCCGCGCGCCAGGGGTGGCGCCGAAGGCGCCGCCAGGGGGGCCCCAGCGCGGATCCAAGAAATCCGCGCGGAGCGCCAAAAGTTTATGATTATTGGGAAAACCAGAAAGGTACCGATACCGCTACTCCCCTCACCACTCCGGGGTGCGCTCTGACCAGGATTTCCGAGGCGAATCCAGCGGTGGCGACGACAGAGGCCCAGGATGCCCCAAAAAGGGGAAAACGAGGAAAGGGCAGAGGTAGGGGTACCTTTTTCCTCCTCTGACTTATCGCGACTTTTCTCCTTCGAGCGCCATGGCTTCGAGAGGCGTCGTCCCCCCCAGCTCGGGGGGGGGCTCCTGCCGGGACAGCGGCCGCACGTCGCTCTCCCACCGCGGGGCGCCCACGGTGGCCGTGCCTGGGGGAACAGGCGGGGGCGGTGGCAAGCAGACGTTCGTTCGTCGGCGGCGAGGCAGAGGGTACAGTCGGGGCGTTGACCTAAGGAACCCTAAATAAGGAACGAGGCCCCCTTTTTCCATGAGTTAAACTTCGATTTCCAATGGAAATCCTCAGGAAAACACCAGGCAAACTGTCGAACAATCAAGGAACACCGAGCCCCTCCCCAACGAAAAGGGTTCCTTCCTCAGGGCCCCGACTGTACTGCGCCAGCGGTCGGGCTAAACGGGGCGACAGTCAACAAGTATAGTAAGGATGCGCGCTAAGGATGCAAGGGCCTTGGACGCCCACTTCTAAGCTTTTTTCGAGCGGGGCGCGGCCAGCGAAAGCGGCGAAGGATGTACCGAGGGTGCCCGTGTGAAGGTCGTCCATCCTTACTGTGTGGGTTGACTGTAAACGCTCCGTCGTCGGCGGCGATGCAAAGGTTACTGCGCCAGCGGTCAGGCCAAACGGGGCTACCGAAGAGCGAAGTGCCCTAGCGTGCAAGGAGGGGAGGGACCAAGACAGACAGCAGACAGGGCGGCCGCGAAGGCGGAGGGAGGGGGGTGCACTCGAAGGCGGAGGACTTCCATCCTGGCAGCAGTGACACAAACACAAGAACTCGGAGCTCCGCGCGGATTTCTCGGATCGGCGCTGGCCCCCCCTCCCTGGAGCGCGCCAGGGGCGGCGCCAGAGGCGCCACCAAGGGGCTCCAGCACCGATCCGAGCAGTCCGCGCGGACCTCCGAATGTACATGTTTGTGCAATTGCTTGTTCCCCTACTCAAAGAACACACAAGTGCTTCTTTCAACCCGCGGCCAATGCCTTCCAAGAACCCTTCCGAGAAACCTCCCAAACAAGAGAGTACCGATACCACTATTGCCGGGACCTCTCCAAGGGTGCGAGGGACCCCAAAAGCCGAAATGGCAGAACGCCTCCGCCCTGATGTCTTCTACGACACGGTCATGTCTGGGCTTGTGTCACATTCGAGCAGGGACCGACCGTCCTGGCATTTCTATAGGCCTACCACGAACTGTTCTTCGAGCCCAGAAATGTTCTAAGAACAAGAGTGTTCTTAGAACTTAATCCCGAGGTGTACAAACAAGCCAGTGCCGGCCAGCAACGTTATGAGAACAGTCCGTGCACACCACAAACAGGTTCTTAGACCACTGTTGGGTAGGCCTACGGGCACGCCAGGACGCCTGGCCTCGCCCCTGCTGGAGTCGTGTTTTGTGCCCCGCAGGCCGTAGCGCGCGTGCCCCCCTGCGGGGCTCGCCGGCTGCCTCCCCGGCGTGTGCATCTCGCGGCCGGCCGAGGGGCGGCGCGCGGAGGAGGAGGCGTCGGACCGGGCGAAAGGAGGGGGATAGCCGAAGGGGGGGCTTCGAGAATCGGCTCACGCGGCTGGTTTTCCGGGCGCCTCCCGGCGCTGGAGGCGCCCACGTAGCGAGGAATAGGCCCTCGGTGGGGCTGAAACCAGCTGCACGCAGCAGATCTCGTACCCCCCCCCTTTCCCTATCCCCCCCTTTCGTCTGGCCCGAACCCTATCCCCCTTTCCCTATCCCCCTTAAGGAGGAGGAGGAGGAGGAGGAGGAGGAGGAGGAGGAGGAGGAGGAGGAGGAGGAGGAGTAGGAGGAGGAGGACGACGAGGAGAAGGAGGAGGAGGAGGTGGAGGAAGAGAAGGTGGACCCCATCCCCCTCCAGCTTATGGTAGTGGGGGGCGCGGCGAGGGGGGCACCCCCCCAGGGGCCCCCGACTTCGTGCCCCTCGCGCTGCGCGAGAGGCGGAGTGCGAACATACCTTCGCGCTCTCGCGCCGCCTCCCGGGGGAGGAGGAGGACGACGCGGAGGCAGCGGCGCCGAACCGCGAGGCGCGAGGCGCGACGAACTGCGCGCCCCCGAAGGCGCCCTTGCCCCCCTGGCAAGCAGGGCGGCTCTTGGCAGAGACCGGCTCCCTTCAGATCGGCTCCCTCTTGGCAGGGATCGGCTCTTGGCAGGGATCGGCTCTTGGCAGGGATCGGCCCCCTACAGATCAGGTCGCCTCTTGGCAGGGATCGGCTCTGAGCAGGGATCGGCGCCCTTGCCCCCCTGGCAGGCAGGGCGCCTCTTGACAGGGATCGGCTCCCTTCAGATCAGGTCGCCTCTTGGCAGGGTCGGCTCTTGGCAGGGATCGGCTCTTGGCAGGGATCGGCAACCTTCAGATCGGGTCGCCTCTTGGCAAGGATCGGCTCTTGGCAGGGATCAGCGCCCTTGCCCCCCTGGCAGGGGGGGCGCCAGGGATCGGCTCCTGGCAGGGGTCGGCCCCCTTCAGATAGGCTCCCTCTTGGCAGGGACTGGCTCTCGGCAGGGATCGGCGCCCTTGCCCCCCTGACAGGCAGGGCGCTTCTTGGCAGGGATCGGCTCTCTTCAGATCAGGTCGCCTCATGGCAGGGATCGGCTCTTAGCAGGGATCGGCTCTTGGCAGGGATCAGCCGCCTTCAGATAGGCTCCCTCTTGGCAGGGACCGGCTCTTCGCAGGGTTCGGCGCCCTTGCCCCCCTGGCAGGCAGGGCGCTTCTTGGCAGGGATCTGCTCCCTTCAGATCAGGTCGCCTCTTGGCAGGGATCGGCTCTTTGCAGGGATCGGCTCTTGGCAGGGATCGGCTCCCTTCAGATCAGGTCGCCTCTTGGCAGGTATCGGCTCTTGGCAGGGGTCGGCTCTTGGCAGGGATCGGCTCCCTTCAGATCGGCTCCCTCTTGGCAGGGATCGGCTCTTGGCAGGGATCGGCTCCCTTGCCCCCCTGGCAGGCAGGACGCCTCTTGGCAGGGATCGGCTCTCTTCAGATCAGGTCGCCTCTTGGCAGGGATCGGCTCTTAGAACTGACGGGGGTACACGTTGACTACCATTGCTGTGCGACCCAGTGCCGTGTGAGGACCGTCAAACCCTATCCATCCTCTCTCGGGACTGCTGCTCAGGATGCACTGGTGCTAGGAAAGGGCCTGGGGGGGAAGGTGAGCCGCTGCCAAGGCAGCCGCGAGTGTCTGTTCACTTTATAAAACAGTAGCCCCCAGGTGTCGGTTGCCTCTGCTCCCGACTCGACATTGTCAGTACCATCACCGCCGGTCTGAATGAAGGCTCGTCTTTTCCGCCCCCCCGTTTTCCTGACCTGATATCCATTACTTTTGCACCCAAGGTAGTAGTTCAGGCGTGTGCACGGCCCCGTGCCGTATGCGCCTTCGAGGCGCGGCTGCAGCTAGCTCTCTTGTCCTGCTGCTGCTCCCCCATCCTGCCCATTCTCTCATCCTGATTATGTGGAGGCATCGACACCCTTGCCTGAGGACCGAACCGAACCGAACCGAAGAGGAGGGGGAGGGGGAGGGGGAGGGGGAGGAGGAGGAGGAGGAGGAGGAGGAGGAGGAGGAGGAGGAGGAGGAGGAGGAGGAGGAGGAGGAGAAGAGCATCCTTCAAGAGCACGAGACACTCCACCGGCCAAAGCACACAGAATATCCAAGGATACCCTCCAAAGCATGCACAAGAGCATCCAACAAACAAACACTATATATCAGGGCACGCTCCTCGAGCCGACCTCGATTTGATACCTCGGTCCGACTGTACTGACCCGGGTCAGTGCAAAGTGGAGCCAGCCACGCTTTGCAGGACCCTGCAAGATTCTGCAAACCCTGCGCCCGAATGGGGCGCACAGAGACGTGCTAGTACTATATGTCCTCATTGGAAGCGCGCGCCCGACCCGAGCATACAGTATACCCATCTTGTAGTATATCGTTTCCCGAGCGGTATGGCCAGAAAACACCCGCCACGACGTATACACTACAAGATTTATCGGTGCGCGCGTCGCCCCTATAGGGGCGGCGCACACGTAATGTTAGCATGCTGGGAGGACGCCGACCTCACCCGGGTCAGTGCGCCCCTGGCCCTGCAGGATCCTGCAAGACCCGGCGCTCTGGTGAACGTTTTCTTACTCGGCGTTTCGAGATTGGGCGGAAGGGGGGGAGGTGGAGGGGTCTGGCTCCAGATCTCTGCTTAGCGCGACTGTTTGCAGCAGTGCGTCCTGTAGGGGAGACCCCACTGGCTTCAACCAGACGCCCAAAACAGCCAAGATCCACTCCATGGGGAGGGGGGAGGGGGTGTGCGAGGGCCCGCGCCGATCGGCAAAACACGATCACCTGGCTGACCCCTGTTTGCACCGACCCCCGTCTCAAGGCTCACGAGCGAGTGTGGTTCAAGCCGGGCCGACAGCTGATGCTGGCCTTCGCCCCCCGTGCCCTCCCGACCGCCCCCTCGACGGAGGCGAGAGCCTCCGAGAGGGGGGAAGCGCCAGGGGTCCACACCTGACCTGGATGTGCCCTAGGGCAACTCTATCGCGAAAGGGGAGGCCATATCCGCGTAAAATCTGCTTCCCGACCCCTCCACAGGAGTTCCATCTCTGCCCACGTGTCACCCCAGATCCGAGTTTTTCATGCCCCGGGGGCCCGAAGACGGCCCCCGGGAACTGAACCAAGCGAGACACCCTTGTCGAGCCGGAAGCTGCTCTGGGCCGCGCCTGAGGTTCTGCAGGCCGCTGGGGGCCTGAGCCCGAAGCTGCTCTGGGCCGCGCCTGAAGTACGGCAGGCCGCTGGGAGCCTAAAGTGCCTCAGGCCCCCAGCCGGCTCCTCCTCCTCCTCCTCCTCCTCCTCCTCCTCCTCCTCCCTCCTCCTCCTCCTCCTCCTCCTCCTCCTCCTCCTCCTCCTCCTCCTCCTCCTCCTCCCCCCCCTCCTCCTCCTCCTCCTCCTCCTCCTCCTCCTCCTCCTCCTCCTCCTCCCCCCCCCTCCTCGCCCCCCCCTCCGGGCTCAGCCGAGGCGGGCCTGTGCGCGCGGCTCGGGCGCCTCGGGCGCCTCGGGCGCCTCCGTTGAGCCTCCCTTGGGGACGGCTGCGCAGAGGCCCTGTGGGGCGGGGAGGGGCGAGGGCAGAGGGGAGGTTGCAGAGGGCAAGGGAAGGGGGGGGGCCAGAGGGGAGGCTGCAGAGGGGCGAGGGGGGCAGAGGGGAGGTTGCAGAGGGGGGCAGAGGGGGGCAGAGGGGCGGGGGGGGCAGATGGGGGGGGGGGCAGAGGGGAGGTTGCAGAGGAACATCGCTCCTGACGGCCCCTGGGAGAAGGAGCGCTCGAGCATCTGGCTGGGCTTGCTCCCCACCCCCACCCCGGGATGACCACACGGCTGCGCGGAGGCCCTGTGGGGGGGAAGGGGGAGCATCGGGGAGGCTGTAGAGGAACATCGCTCCTGACGGCCCAATGGGAGACAAAAACGCGCGAGCACAAGGCTGGGCTTAAGTCGGGCGTGTCCCCATACAGGCGGATTCTAAACGAAGAAGAACAAATAGCCAACACATGCCCAACAGTGCTCAAAAATCCGCCGATCTGGCGTGTGAGTTTCTGAGAGCGTGGATTTGAGCTCGCTCAAGCTTCGCTCTGCAGGGGGGGGGAAGGTTATTTCCGACGTCATTTCCGACGTTTTTCGGTACACGGGGATATTTCCGACGTCATTTCCGACGTTTTTCGGTACCCGGGGACAGGGGGACCACTCACCCAGAACAGCGTTCCCCACCACCCAGTGCAGCGCTTTGTGGCCCCATAGGGGTTTTCACCGAAGAAGAGTTTCACAATTGCGGTACCCACAACTGCATATGGTTGGGTCATTCGCCAGGATGATTTTCTACTATTTTTGGATATTTCTCCTGTAGAGGGACATGCCCGACGTGAGGGTACCACATTTGCTCCGAGACTGTGCTTAGCCTAGGGGCTCCCGCGCACTCCCAGGGACCTGGTGCAGACGGGCTTTCGCACGGCACCGACGATCTTGAAGGGGCCCTGGGACACACACACACACACACTCACACACACACACATACACAAATACACACAAATAACAGGATTCCCCACATCTTCCCATATGTTCTGGGTTGTTGTCGCCCCCCCACTTCCCAGATGTTCCCATATTTTCATGGGAATGGACGATGAATTGTGTCTGTGTGTTTTTCTTTCCCCCCCCCGAGATCTTTCTCGCACCACGCCAGAGAGGGCCCCCTGCCAGACCTCGAGGGGGGGCCCGCGGCCCGATCCCCGACTCCGACCGCGAGGGCTCCGCACGGAGCCCGCCCCCCCATAGCAGGCACCGGGCCCTCAGAACGTAGACCACGGGACGCACACAGACATGCCAGTGCTGTGTGTTCTCCTTGGAGGCGCGCGTCCGACCCAAACATGTAGTATGCCCATTTTGGAGTGCATCGTTTCCCGAGCGGTGTGGCCAGAGAAAGCGCCCGCCACGACGCGTAAGTATGTTGGGGTGACACCGAGACCAGACTGATCAGAGCAAGACTATCTCAGCCAAACATGTTCCAAGAACAGGTTGAGCAGGCCACAAAAAATCCCAGAACATCAATTGGTGGGCCTGCGAGTCAGGCCGCTGTCTCCACTGCTCGAAATACCGCTACTCCCGAGACCCCTCCTGCGGTGCGTTCTGCCTAGAACATCAAGGCGAATCCAGCCGCGGCGACGAGGGCCTCCCCGGAGGCCCACAATGGCGAAAACGGGGCGAGGGCAGCGGTGTATCGGTACCTTGTCCAACTCTAAATTGCCTTCGCGGTCTCGCGCAGCCGCCCCTGGAGAAGGGCGCGCCCAGGCCGCGATGCGCGAGGCGCGGCTCTGCTCTGGGACGGAACGACGACATGACAGGGTTGGCTCAGGGTACGCTGCAGGATTTCTGAAGAATATCTAGCGACCCGCGTTTTGCGCGGCCCGCGTGGACCATTCGGAGATCGGAAATCTTAGAAACCCTGGGAACCCTGGAACGTCGCATCATCATAACCTGGTGCACCTCCGAGTCTCGTTAGGTCGGGCATGACCTCCCACAGGTGGCTTTTGACGGATGACGGGGACCCCCATCGGCGGTGCACAAACCTCCCTTTGGTAAAACCTCCCCCTAACGACAACGGCCTGGGACCGAAACCGACGGACCTGGACCGGCAAAAATGACGGCCACGACGCCCTCTCGCGAACCGAAAACGGCCCATTCCTTACTCGACGTGTCAGGGTAGGAGGTCGACCGACCTCCAATGTTCAACGTTTCGACAATAAGCGAGAGAGGGGGGAGGGTCGGGTCGGGCGAAAGGGAGGGATTGCAAAGGGGGGATTTGAAAATCAGCTCACGTAGCTGATTTTCCCGGCACCTCCCGGCGCCGGATGCGGCCATGTATCGAGGAATGGGCCCCTCGGTGAGGCCGAAACCAGCTGCATGCAGCAAATTTCGTAACCCCTCCTTTCCCAATCCCCCCCTTTCGTCTGGCCCGAGAGGGGGAGGAGGTCTCGCTCCAGAACTCTGGGGAACGGGCAGACCTCTGCCAGCTCGCTGGGCGCAGAGGCGGGACGCGTGGCTGGTCCCCGGGAGGCGCGGCGGGGCAGGGCGGGGCGGGTGAGGCAGGGCGGGCGAGGAGGGGGATGGGGGGGCTGCGGAGGGAGGAGGGAGGAGGAGGAGGAACGAGGAGGGAGGAGGAAGGAGGAGGAGGAGGAGGAGCAGGAGGAGGAGGAGGAGGAGGAGGAAGGAGGAAGAGGAGGAGAGAGGAGGAAGGAGGAGGAGAAGGGAGGAGGAAGAGGAGGAGGAGGAGGAGGCCCAAGGCGCATCCAGCTTGTCGCTCGATCTTGGAGCCCCTGGGGCCCACTGGGCCTCGTGAGGGGTGCTCTAGGGGCCGTGGAGGGGGCCTCCTTGGAGATCCTGGGGGCAAATTGGGCCAGGGGCACTTCTGGCAGCACCCGTCGTCGAGTCAGAATTGAAGGATGCTGCCAGCGGGGTGAGAGCCTGAGGCATGCCCGCAGCCGGGTGAGGCCAGCGGGGGTGTCCGATGCCGCAGCGCCGGTCGGACCCATAGCAAGGGTAGGCTCGCAAGTGGTCGCAGAACTAGGGGACACGAGGGGGGCGGGAGAGCGCGAGGGGGGAGGCGAGAGTCACGACCTGCTTCCTGCCGCGTTTCCAAGTCGGAGTCCAGGCTCAGACAGTGCGGAGCCCACCCCCCCTCGAGAGAGAGAGTTCGGTGGCAACTCCTGCGAGCCTCCGAAACCACCTTGTCGGCCCTTGCGAATCGACGCTAATCGACACTAGTCGACGCTAATTCGACCTTCATCAATGCTAATCGACGCCAAATCTGCGCTATCTCATCGACTCCCAAACGCTAATCGACGCCAGTCGACCCTAAAAACAATAAGAGAATATACCTGGCTCCCATGATTTGCAACCGAAAGAGTGCCGGTGCATGCGCCATCGCGCCAGCTTCAGCTGCGGAAGCGCGGGCATCGCAGGGAAGCTGCGCTCAGCAAGACCCGTCGTCGCCGATGCCGTTCGGGCCGTACCTTCGGCGCAGCAGCGCCGAGTGCGCAGAGAGAGAGCGGGAGGGCGAGGCAGGAACGAGGGGTCCCCAAGGCCACGTCAACGGGGTCATTGATGAGTGGGCGCGAAGTAATACGGGGGGGGCGACAGATGGGCAGGGACGAAAGGTGCCCTTTTCGGGCTCTAAAGGCCTCCGTCTGGGCCCGAAGGAGATCCATTTGGTGGCCCTAGGGCCTAAGGGGCTCTTCGGCAGCCCTCGCTTCCCCCTCCATTTCATCGCCCCCTTGCTCGCGCCGCCCCCAAAAATAACAAGGACACTGGCGCGCTGGAGAGCCCTGCAGCCGCGGGTCGAAGCATCGTCCGCTCGGCATGCTCGCCGGGCGGACTGTCCGAAGTCCTGCTTAGACCAGCGTGCACGGTTTCTCCCTGGTGCCGAAGG